GCTGCCAGCGGCCGCGAGGACGGCTGCGGGGGGGCGGGCGGGGGGCGGGCGGGGGCGTGAACGCTGAGGGGGAGGGCTTTTGGGAGGGAGCAGGGCCGCCCGCACGCATGCGCAGGGCGAGCGGCTGCTTTGGGTGTCACCCATCATGCAATGTCGACCGCCTGTTTGGGCTACCCCCACTGCCGCGGGCAACTTGCTGTGGGTGTGGTGATGCTGGTTTCACCAGGGCAGCGGCCGCCTCCTCTGCCAGCCAGCGGCGAGCGAGCTTCACGCTCCCCATCCCATCCCAAGGGTCCACACGCCCACCCCACCCCGTATCGAGTGTGGGGCCGCACCTGCCCCCTGCCCCGCCTTTGCGACAGCTGCTTGTGCGGCCCTAGCAACATCCTCTGGCCGGCACTCGCCCATCCTGAGGAGCTTCACGCCCTGGCAGCGCGCCAAGCATCTGTTGCTGTAGGTGACGCCGTCCACGCCGCACGCCAGCCGGTGCAGCGCGGAGCAGCTGCTACAATTCTGCGCGGCCCCTGATATCCCTGCAAATCACCAGAGGCGGGCGTGGAACAGGGCCGCACAGGCACCATTGAAGACGGGTGCCCCATGCTCTCACTCGCGGGCCCGCGTGCGTCACCATACAACCAGCTTCGGCGCGTTGTGGGGGCAAAAGCCCTTTCAATCAAGTGGTTTGGGCGGCCAGGACACCGCACGACGGTCGCGTCCAAAAGGCACAACCTTGTCACAACTCACCCCATAAGAGCGCGCTGCTGAAGAGCAGCAGCAGGCCAAACGGAGGCATGTGCAGCATGCACCTGGCCTCCAGGCACCGCTGAGCCACCCGCGGAGGCCCCTGCCGGACTCCAGGACTTTTCGGCGATCCCCGTGTTGCGCCGTCCGGGGCTGCTGGAGGCGCCCGACCTTTGATATCGGAGGTTACAGCGCTTGTTGTAGAGTATGGATTGACTGGCCTCGCGTGCGGCGCGTGAGGCAGTGCGGGGGACCTCATGAGCTTCCGCCGCGCCGTCGTTAAGACCACACCTAATAGCTCCGCATAAAGATGCAGCCGCGATACGATGCTCATGACAAGCGTTCATGCACTCTGTGATGGTGAGAGCATGCGGTGCCCAGTCTTGTGGGCTGCGTGTGGATGCAATGTCAAAGCGAGTTTGACCTGAGGAGCAGGCTCGTTGCGGAAAGGGCCCTGCCCATGCTGGGCGGTGATCCGCTGGGTGCTGTTGAACATTATTGGCGATGTATAGTGCACAGTGTGTAGCCCCACCGCCCACAAGCGTATGATTAGAAGTGTTTTGCAGCACCCCGCGGACAGCGCTCGCTAGGTGCGCTGTCTAAGAATGCGTGCTCAGCGGGCGCCACTTGCTGCAGAATCCGGAACCTCAGGCAATCAAGGAGCACATGGGCGCTTTGTGGGTCTCCGAGCCCCCCGGGGTCGCAGGAGCGGGGCAGACACGCAGGACGCAGCAGGTAACATACACGCTGACCCGTGATTGACGGGGTGCTCGGCACCCGGATTAGAATTCAAACTTCAGAAACAGAAACATCCTTCGTTGCAGCTGGGACCCTGTGTTTTGTTCTGAAAGGCACTCGCGTGGGCAGTGACCGCGCGAGTGACTCGCGTGCTTGGAGCTGGTTGCGAGTAGCAGAACAGGCGAATACATCCGCAGCCCTACTTAGAATCTCTTTTGTGCGGTGGCCAAGGGCAGGACCGCTCTTGGTCGACACTGCACTGGCCACGGGTGGCGCGAATGCGGAGCTCACGGGGGGGCATCCCCCTGGCTGTGGCGGTGCTTTCCGTGATAATCCTGGTTTCAAGGGGTGAGCTTGTGCGCTGGGACGACCGCCTCCTTGCCGTCGTTCGCCATGAAAAGCCCGCACTTCCCAGCTCAGCACTAGCAGAAAAGCACCGCCTAGCTGCAAGTTGAAGCGCCCTGTGACGCAGCAACGAATGCAGTCGCAGACATATACTGCACGTACAGCATTCAGACTTTATGCTACAGCACGCAGCGGGCCATTCAAAATGGTTCGCAGGGGCCCGCTCACCAGCGCTGCAGCAGCTGCGTGAACGCTCATGGCGCCTGTCAGCAGCGCTCCCGCCAAGCACGGCGCCCCGCCCTGCACCGCCGCACTCTCGCCCCCAGCCTCCGCCAAGAATGGCGGCTGCAGCATTTACTACAACGGCAAGCACGGCGGCAAGCCCCGCAAGGGCTGCGACCTGACCGGCTGTGACCCCATACGGAAGTGCACCATCGTCTTCCCGCCGCAGCCCTACTGCACCTGCCTCGGCAGCCCCTCCTTCATCACGTGCGTCGTCGACGCCGCGACCAACAACGTGGTCGGCCTGGCGTGGGGCGGCGCGGGCGACGCGTTCGGCTCGTGGATGCAGGGGTCGTACGACGAGCGCCGCAAGAACAACACCATTTACGTGCCGCCCGCGGACCAGGACCCGTCCTCCAACCAGGGCTACAACCAGATGTGCCTCCAGCAGTCGCAGCTGCCCGCCAAGCGGCAGGACGAGGTCTTCCTCGTAAACATCACCTTCCCCTTTGAGGTCTCCGGCGGCCCGCAGGACCCGAGCGCGAACCGCATCAACCGCTTCTTCGCGCGCGTCGACGAGTTTTCCGGGTACATTTCCGAGCTCACGTTCCAGTTCCAGGGGCTGGACGCCAACGGCAACAACCTCTACTCGTCGTGCGGCGCCGGGGAGACGTACACCCGGACGATGACGTACTCTGCAAAGAAGAATGTGACCGACCAGACGTTTGAGTCGGTGCTGTGTGGGGTGCGGTCGCCATGCGAGAAGACGACAAACTTCCTGATGATGCCGCTGCTGCCTTGCTACAGCGAGGAGGTCATCGTGAGTCAGCGGGGGGCTTGCGGCTGCTGCCGCTGCTGCCGCTGCTGCCGCTGCTGCCGCTGCTGCCGCTGCTGCCGCTGCTGCCGCTGCTGCCGCTGCTGCCGCTGCTGCTCGTCTCTTTGCTGACCTGCCACATGCCGGGCCAACCATCAGGTGTTCCCCCACCACACCAATGCATCAGGGTTGCCGCAAGCACATCAGCAGTTGCAGTTGATTTGTCTGACCACAGTCCTGTCCCCATTGCTACTGATGGTCCCTCCCACCACAGGACCAAGCCCGCCCTGGCAATCCACCGACAGTCCCCGGAACAGCCAGCACCACCGCCTCACGCCTCGCTGCCGCAAAGGCGGCCGCGGCCAAGACCGCAGCGGCGCGGGCGGCGGCTGTGGCGGCAAACCGGGCGGAAGTGGAGCGGCAGCGTGCAGCCGCAGAGGCGGCGGCTGCAACGCAAGCTGCGCAGGAAGAGCAGCAGCAGCAGCAGCAGCAGCAGCAGCAGCAGCAGCAGCAGCAGCAGCAGCAGCAGCAGCAGCAGCAGCAGCAGCAGCAGCAGCAGCAGCAGCAAACAGCGACCGACGCGGCAAACGCGGCCCAGAGGGCGCAAGAGGCGCTCGCTTCAGATGCGGCGGCAAATACGCCGCCAGTGCCCGTGATCAACGCGGCGGCGGGGAATGCGCAGACGGGACTCGCGCCTCCCTTGAACACGGCGCAGCAGCCCGTCCTCGGCATGCTGCCATTGGTGGCCGGCGTGCCGGGGCAAGTGGTGACGGGGGACGCGAAGGCCGCGCAGGGCGCGGCGCTGGTGACGCCTCTGGTGACGCCCCAGGCGGTGCACTGCACCGGGGCGGACACGGTGACGTCAGCACCCAAGGCTTACTTCATCGCCAAGAGTGAGCACCTGCTGGGCAAAGCTGGGGTTTTGAGGGAGGGACCAACAGTCCCTGTGTCCGTGCCCATTGTTTGCAATCTGGGGCGATTGCTGCACCATCACCCGCCGTTTGGGCCCGTGAGGGGGTACTCTTGCATTTGTGCATGACCTGCCCCAACCCAAGGATGACAGCGCACGCCAGCCACCCCTGGGCCCTGGGATGAGCCAGCCCCAGGCCACGCTGGACCCAAAAACCGTTGTCGCCTCTCCCGCGCCCCCGTCCCCCACTCGAAACCCCCGTCTCCAACCCCTGATTCCCATCCCTCGCAGCCGCCCCCGATCGCTGGTCAGACATGCCCGCTGCCACCTGGAGCGCGGCCAGGGCGCGCGTCGTCTCCTCCGGCCGCGCCGCCCACCACGCGGGCTTCCTCTCGTCCCTCGGCGCCGCCGCCGCAGCCAGCGGCCGCCGCCGCCTGCTGGACGGCGCGAGCCCGATCGCTGCCGACTCCCTCAACAGCGGCTGGGAGGGCGTGTCGGCCGGCGTGTCGGCGGCCAGCGCCGGCGCGGGCGCGGGCGCCGCGCCGCGCGACGCGCTGGGCGTCGCGTTCGCCGTCGGCGGGCCGGGGCGCAGGGCCGGCTACTCGCTGCACGCGGCCAATGGGCTCGTGGTCATATCAGCACTGAGCTACAGCGGCGTACCCGCGACCACCCACGCGCCCAGGTGGGTGCACCTCAGCGGCCACAGCAATCCTGAGCCTTGTGGGCCGGAAAGGGCCGCGCTTTCGCTTTTGTTTTATGACCCGCCTCGGCTGCCTCCATCATCGTGCGCGTGCGCAGCCGTGCCCGCGAATGCCATGCAGGCAGCCTCACAAGGCTCTGAATTGGCTGGGCCGTTAGCCTCAGCTGTCCCACTGCCCGTCGTCGCCCGCGACCCCCGCCCCCGCAGGACCCTGTCTGCGTTCTTCGACGCCTCATTCCTCGGCTTCGCCGGCCAGTCGCACTTCCTCTCGCCGGACGCGATTTTCGACAAGGCGTCCAAGCGCTTTGTGCTTGCCGCTGTCTCCCACGACGACGCGCTCAACGGCAGCGCGCCCTCGGTGCTGTGGCTCGCCGCGTCGGCCCGCGCAGACCCGAGGCAGGGCTGGCGCGTGCTGGGGCTGGCCGCGCCGCCGCGCGGCGATGCGAGCAACCCGTGCGGCGCAGGGACCCAGGCTGTGTGAGTGGCGCTGGCGTTGGCGCGTTGGCTGCGCATTCTGGGCGCCTGAGCTTGCCGGCCCGGCGCCGGTCCGCGGCCTGCTGGCTGTGCTTTTGAGCAGATGCAGAGACTCGTCGATTCTGTAGGGGCTCTTGCTGGGCAGCTCCCTGACCATGCGCCTGCGCCCACACCCCGGACGTGCACTCACACATCCTTGTGTTCAATCACATGGCCATCTCCCACCCGCATCTGTTCCTCCACCATCCACGCGCGGGTCCTCCATCCCAAAAATGCTTGCGTCCACTCACAACATGATTGCGTGATCACCCCACTTCACCAATCCCAGGTGGGAGTCCCCACGCCTGGGCTACGACGAGCACGGCATCCACGTCGGCGCCAACATCGCCTGCGCCGCCCCCGGCGCCCTCGACCCCGACGCCCGCGCCGGCCGCCGCGCGTGGCTGCTGTCACTTGGAAAGGAGGGCCTCTACGCCGCCGCCGACGCCGCGCCGCCGGCGCTGCCCGTCGCGATGTGGGACCTAAGTGACGGCGCCGGCGGCGCGCCCGTGCGGCAGGCGCAGCCGGCGGTGCCGCAGGCGGCGGCGGACGCGGCGGGGTCGGCGCGGGGCGCCGCCTTTGCGGTCGCGCTGGTGCGCGGGGGGCCTTGGGGCAAACATCTGGTATGCCGCTTGTTGGACCAGTCTGACGCCATGACTACACGGCCTGACAGGCTTGCAGGCACGCAGCTGCCAGGCTCAGCCCTTGGATGGTGCAGATCGCCTCAGGGATGCCACATGTGCCAGCAGCCAACCAGCCCCTCATATTGGATGTGTGTTGCGATTTCATCTTGTCCCCCCGTTTTTTTGGCCCCCCCCTTGCCCAAACAATTCGCAAATATTCTACACCAAACGCCGCCCCCCCTTCACCGGCCACGCCCCCGATTCGCCCCTTGCAGGAGGCCATCCCTGGCGCGCCCAGCGAGCGCCTCGTGTTTTATGCCATCACCGAAACCTCGAAGCTCAAGTCCCTCGCGCCCGGCGCGGCGCCTACCCTGTGCCGCGCCGCCCGGCCGCGCGGCTACAAGCCGCCACTGGCGGAGGCCGACCCGCCCGCCAAGGGGGGCCTGCGGCAGCCGGGCAGGGGGCCCGAATGGGGGCTGGACGCCGGGCGCGCCTGGCGCGTGTACTCGGTGGGTTTCAAAAGACCGGGTCTGCCTGATTCGCTTTGTGAACAAAGCGTGCTGAAAGTTTTGGCAGGATTGCGGCCACGCATTGCCTCGAGCAGCCCTTGTTGGCTGCCAAGTGGCTGCTGTTTAAGGCGGAGCGCGCTCCGTGCACAATGTGGCGTGTCTCGCAGCACTCTGCCCTTTCGCTGTACTTGCGTGCTTGTGAGTGAATGATTCCCCAACCGCGCAAGCCCCCACCACCCCGTTTTTGAATTGGCCCCCTCGCGACACAATCGCTTTTGCAATTGCTCAAACCCCCGCGCCCCACCCCGCACCCCTCCTCACTGGCAGGCCGCCCTGAGCGCCGGCAAGCTGTTTGTCGCCACAAAGGCGTACGACCCCGCCTGCACCGCCGCCGCCCCCGACGCCTGCCGCCCCGCCGTCCACGTCGCAACCTGGGCCCCCTTGAGTCCAGACCCCGCCGACGCCGCCGCGGCGCGCTTCGGCCCGGCCGCCGTTGGCGGCGGCAGCGGCGCGCTGATCGGCGGCGGCGGCGCGTCGCTGGCGTTCCCCTCGGTGACAGTGCCCGACGGCGGCGCGCCGCTGGTGGGATTCAGCTTTACGAGCGAGCCGGGGGCGGGCCCCGGGGAGGGCTACGCGGGTGCGAGGGAGATGAGGGTCTCGGGCACAGCCATGCGAGGGCTGGACCGGCAGGAGACCGCCGCCCTTCTGCCTGGGCTGCCGCGTTAGTCCTGCCTGTGCATGGCCGCCTAACTGGGCGCGGCGGCCGCGGTCAGCTGCGCGTGCTGCGTTTGTCGCGGTTGCCTTGCATGCTCATTATGCTCGCAAGGCCCACGTCATGTGACCTCTGCAGCCCTCGTATTGCAACACTACCTGCTGCCTGCTCATGCACCCCTATCCCCCCCCATCCGCCCCCGGCCTCCCCACCTGCCCCTGCGGTGGCCCTCACCTCTCCAAACCCTAAACACCAAATCCTGAACCGTAAAACGCAAACCCCCGTGCAGGCGTCGGCTTCTCGCGCCTCACCCCTGATGGCGCCGTCAGCGGCGCGCCGATACGCGCCACGCGGCTGGGGCTGTCCGCGGTCGACGCCCCCGCGGCGTCAGCGGGCTACCGCCTGTGGGGCGACAGCACCACGGCGGCGGCGGCGGGCGGCCGCGTGTACGTCGCGGCGCCGTATGCCGCCATGCAGGGGTGGGGAACGTGGGTCGCCGCCCTGCCAAGCTCTTAAGCCGGTCCGCGCGTGCCGCGGCCCTGCGGCGGCCGCTCCAGCAGCCGCACGGGGCGCCCAGTGGCGGGCACGTGCTGCGGCGCCGCGCGTGGCGCAAGAATTTCTCGCATTCTTTGTTATTCCAGTTTGGAAAACGCGCTGAGCAGAATGAGAGCAACAGGCGGTTTCAGCTTGGTGTTTCGCAGCGCCCCGCACGCGCCATTATCGCGCACCAGCGCCGCGTTTTTCGGCACACACGTGGGCGGCAAGTGCACGCAGCGGACACGCACGTTGCCAGCCCAACTCGCAGGATGTCGGGCGCTTCGGGCCGCCCTTCAAACACCAATTGCGCAACCCCCTGTCTTCCTTCCTTTTGGCGACATCGAGGTGCATGCGGCGAGCCGTGTGGCTACTGTTGCCCCGACCCCTCTTTGTATAGTGTGGTGAGCCAGCACACTTGGTTCGCTGCGGTGAGCCCGCACACACACGCCAGCCGCCCACCCCACGCCCGCCGTGCATCTTGCGCTGCTGTGGCGGGGCGCGTTGCTCATTGCGCACGGCCCAACGTGCCAAAGCGCACAGTCGTAAGCTCCATTGCGATGCCCCATGTATGACCAAGAGAGGGGTTTGAGAGCCATGGGGCTGGCCGTAAGCGTACCGAGTGTTAAATCAGCAGTTGAGGCGAGGCAGCAGGAGTGAGGGGCCAACGACCGCAGTTGTGCGCTTGTGCTGCTTGAGCGCCTTGGATTGACACCCCCTTTGCGCGCACAGGGCAGGGCTTCACTGGTAGAACCTTTGGAAGGGGCCTCGACTGCTGGCAGAAGCGGGCAGCCATCAGTAACGCTGCATGGCGGCGACGCATCAGCACCTGTGCATGGCGCAGGTCTTGGTGTATACAATAGATTCACTTGGTTTGTTTTCATATACGCCGTTCAGCGAAAGACACGGCCACCGAAGAGGAGTGTCATTCTGAGCACTCTAGTTTTTTGGAGAGCAGCATGGCGTGGTGACGGGACACTACCGTACTCTCAATCCACTTTTACGCATGAAACCAGCCAAGTAGCCGCGTTCCTGGCGCCTAGGGGATCTGTAGACAATGCAATTTTCGACGGCTTCCAGGGCCGCCCGGGAGCCGTCCGACCAGGGCGAGTTGGACAATAACTTTAGACTGTTGTGCCAGAGGCCTGGCCGAGGTGCGCGGAATCCGCGCGCGCGGCGTCACTCGCACGGGGCACCTCCAGGTGGCTGGACCCGTGCATCGCGCGCTGCGCAGTGTGCTGCGCCGTGCATCGCGATGCGTTGCCACGTGATGTGAACAGCCACATGCATGAGCATTCTCCAAATCTCTGTCACATTCGCATTTCCATCCCCTAGGCAAAGCCCAACTCGTGGCCGCCACGGCCGGGGCCGCCCCCCAGCCCCGACGCCTGGGCGCCGCCGTTGCTGCGGCGGTGCTCGTGGTGCTGCTGCTGGCGCTCGCCCCCACGGGTGCACGCGCGCAGCCATCATGCAGCATGAAGCACTGCGCGCGCTGCCGGGTGCTGCAGGCGCAGCCGGGCCAGCCGGGGTGGCCTGGAAGATCAAAGATATGCTTTCTAGCCAAGACGGGGTACCTCCCTGCTCCCAACCGCGCCTCCGTGCCAAGTGAGCACGCCCGGCCGGCCGCAGACTGGGCAGGGGCTCGCTTGGGGCGGCTCCGACAATGTGGCACGGCATGACCGGCCGCCGATTGGCCCGGCGCCAGCATGCCGCGGCCGTGCGCAACGGGACAGCAGGGCTGGGACCGCCCGCGGCCTCCCAATGTGCAGCGGCCGGCGGATCAGCCGGGCTGCAGAGCGGGGCGGATCTCATCGCACGATCCATCCCGTGGCAGCTGCGGCGCGCGCGTGTGCGCGGGCGGGCCACATGCGCCCAGAACTGCGGCCCGGGCGGCCTCCAGTCCGCCGCGGAGGCCGCCACCTGCCGTTGGGCCCTTGGGCCCCTCCCAGCCCAAGCCTTGGACTGCACACCCCATTGCCGTCCGCCCACCTTCCCCTCACCACCCCCCTCCCCTACTGCACAGCCTGCGCCGCCGGCTATGCGGCTAAAAAGCTCAAAGGTTCCAAGTGCATCAAATGCGCCAAGGGCCTGTTCGCGCCGGCGGCCAAGATTGGCAGCTTGGTGCGCGGGCGCACCCCTGCGTCCCCCGCTTGCCGCACCCCGCACCCTGGGCCGGCGCCCTGCACCAAACGTGCCGTGCTGACGTGCCCGTCCCCTTGCTGGGGCGTTTTTCGTCAGGCCGGCGCGCTGCCTTGAGGATGGGTGACATCCGCTCTCACGCTTCGCGTGCATGCGCTCGCAAACGCGCAAACGCACACACACACACACACACACACACACACACACACACACACACACACACACACACAAACACACACACACACTCTCTCTCTCTCTCTCTTTTGCAAACACACTTTGACACACACACACACACTCCAACAATCACACACACACACTTGCTCTCACTCCCCACGCGCGCCCGCACCCCCAGATCTGCGGGAAGTGCCCCGCCAACACCGTGCTCAACGTCTACAGCAACCGCTGCGTGGGCCTCCCCGGCTACATCGTGAACGACGACGGCACAGTGCGCGAGTGCAGCGTTGACAAGTTCTGCATCAACAATGTGGAGCGCGACTGGTGGGCCGCCCCGCCCTGCCGCGCCCCGAAGCGACGGGAGATGTGACTGTGATGATGTGATTTCTGCGGACAAAACCCTCAACCCCGCATTCTGAATCCTACGACTGCTTGGGAGGCGCGGGCGCGGGCGCGGGCGCGGGCGCGCGCGCGCGGGCGCAGGCGCGGCGAGCGCGGGTTGGGGGCTGTTTTTGGGGGCGGGGGGCAGGCTGCGGGGGGCAACAGAGCAAGGCGGTGCCGCGCGGCGCAACGCGACGCCTCCCGTTTTCGGATGCGGGCGTGGCGTGGTCTCGCCTCCATGATCCCCAGTGGATGGCGCTGCACTCGCTCTGCTGAGTCGCTGGACAGCCCGCGCCCACTCGTCTTGCTGCACCCCTCCCCACCCACTCTCAAGCGGCCGCCCAGCCACCCACCCACTCGCAGGGCATGTGTCGGTGGGGTCGACCCCCATCCGCACTGACCCCCACCCCCATCTCCTCATCCCTGCTCCCCCCCCCAACTACTTCCGCCATAACGTTGCCCAATAATAGTCCTTCCCCTACCC